AAACAACAACATCATGAAATATCGAGGTTGCAAAAAAAGTTTCAAATAAAATCGTTGGAAACAAAGTCAGCAATGATTGCAAATTGAAAGCGGAGAAACAGCTGATAAAAAAGTCATTTTTCATGATGAGCAACATTCAGCGATGCCACCGAGATGATGTTGTTGAATACTTGTCAGCAAATGGAATCAAGGTAATTTCGTGTTTTCCTGTTGTTAAAAAGACAAATAATTCGACTGAGGGTAACAAAAACAACAATGATGATGAGCAGTCCACAATGTTCAGAGTGTGTGTCGAAAGTTGTGACGCCAGCAAGATGAAAGATCCTGACATCATTTTGAAGCACATCATCGTTCGTGAGTGGCGCTTCAACCAGAAAAAACCCGAAGAAAGTAATAATGTGAAACATGATTAGCACAAATGCAGCAAACAAAGAAAACCACCGCAAAACACTTAACAACAGGTGCCAAAAATTTGAAAATATAAACCAATTTAATAACCAATTTAAACAAATACATTACAATAATTCCAATGTAAAATCATTTTTTAATCTCATGCATATCAACATCAGAAGTTTAATACACAAGGCAGATGAGTTGTTTGATTATTTAAACAATTTTGTGTGCACATTTGACGTCGTAGCCATCACTGAAACATGGCTTAATGATAGTACAGAGGATTTGATTTGTATGAACGGTTTCAAATTCATCGGAAAAAATCGATTGAGCAAACACGGTGGAGGAGTAGGATTCTACGTAAGCAATAACTTGACCTTCAAGACAAGAGATGATTTAAACAAGTTGGGAGGTCTAGATTTTGAAACTTTCGCAATTGAATTAAAGACTGACCCTTCAACCAAAAATTTCGTCATTGTTGTATTATACAGACCACCCAGTTGCAACGCGATCTATTACCTGCAGCAATTAGAAATTATATTGCAACAAATAGACGTTGAAAACAAGCATGTTGTTATCACAGGTGATCTCAACATTGATATGAGTGACACGAACGATGATGTTAACAAAATGTATTTATGTCAACTTTTTACCTGCAACAGTTTTGATCAGTTAATAACGCTTCCAACAAGAATCAGTGTTGAAAAGCAATCAATCATCGACTGCTTTTTCACAAACTTTCCGCAACAGGTAGCGTTATGTGGTGTGCACGTTCATGATATATCGGATCATCTGCCCATCACCGCCACTATCAGTTCTTCCATTAACAAAAATAAGTCCAAATACGTAAAAAATCAACAAATCTACTCCTTTTCAAAAAGTAGAATAAACAAACTTAATGAAGCTTTATGTATCAACGATTGGTCAGATGTTTTGTTATGCAATGATGTAAATGATGCTTTCAAACTATTCATTGACCTATTTAAAAAAACTTTTCGATGACCGTTGCTTAATGGAAAATGTCAAAAAATCTAGAAATTTTCTCTGTAACAAACCATGGATTACAAAAGAATTTAGTATTTTACTCAAAAATAAAAATTCTTTATATAAAAATTTCTCGAAAATCCAACCGGGATAAGATACACGAAATTTAAATCAATTGCCAAACGTTGCTCAAATCTCAACAATAAGCTAAAAAACAATACTTCAGTGACTTGTTTCAACGAACAAAAAATAACAGCAAAAAACGTGGTCGAATATTTTAAAAATAATAAATAAAAGTAAAGATGATA